TTTTAATGAGCTCAAAAAGCAAAGAAAAAAGACAAAAATTAGATATAAGTACTCCAAAATATTTAATACCAATTGTTTCCCTCAACTTCAAGTGATAGAAAACAGCAGTGCAGAATAAAACCACATTAAATCTAATCTTTTGACAACAAAAGGATCTCAAATAGAAAAGAGAAATGATGCGTCTTGCTAATACAGTATAATGCGCACAGATAATAGAAAAAGGAAACCTCTGAAAAAAAGAAGCTCAAAATCAGCTTGTTTTTGATCATGAATTAAATTAGATTTATAATATAATATTTAAATTTTTAATAATAGATAACTCGATTTGTTTACGAGAGATAAAAAAAATTCTGGGAAATGTCAAAAAAGTTTTATCTGGAACCATCGTCTGTGTGTCGGGCCAGATATTTTCAGGTGTCAAGTGTTCCTAAGTCGAATCACCTATTTTTCGGGGTGTCCGCATATCGAGGTCTCACTGTATTTATACGATCCGTGAGGGGGGGGGGGGGGAGAAACGTCAAAGATAGTAAATATTTTAGTAAAGCGGCGAGTGCATGATGCTTATTCACAAAATCATTCGTCATCGTTTCGTCATTCATTCGTTATTTTTTTCACTCATCCTGAGGTCCTGATTCCAGACGAAGTTCATCACTCGAAATGCTTTATAGCTGGCTAAATTGCCACAGGATCTTGTGGATTTTCGTACTAGTTCAATGCATGTACAGGATTTCCGGTAAGAATTTCGGCAAGTGCGAATTGGCAGAGGAACTCGCGTTTCGTCACGATGTGCCTTTGGAAGAAGTTCCGCATTGTAAGAAACGATGCTTTATCGTGTCATACACAATTCAGAGCTTTTGTTTTATGATTTTAAAAAATAAAGGGGTTTGCATAGCAAAACACGAATCCACGTTTGACACTTCGGCGATCAATAGGAATTATTGGGATGGAAGCAAGGATTACGGATTGTTTCAAATCAATGACCGATACTGGTGTTCTCCACCCGATGATCAAAATTCATGCAGAGTGAACTGCGTCGGTTTGTTCCTTTATATATACTTTATCCATATTTAAGTGCAATATGTGATTTAGTGATTTTAAACTTGTCGATAGATTTGCTGGACGACGACATCAGGAACGACGTAAAATGTGCTCGTAAGATTTTCAAGATTCACCGGAGGAACGAAGGAAACGGCTTCTTAGCTTGGTGATTATATATATTTAAAAAAATCGAAGTACTGTACATATTTTAAAAATTCGAATTTACCTGTTAGATGCAAAATTAAATGAATTTAATATGCAAAAATTTGAGAGCGACTCATTGAGGAAAGATTGTTTTGCATTTGTGGTCCGTTATTAATGTTCTTCCCGATATTTCATTGCGCAATCTCAAAAAAAAAAGACAGGCTCGTTTATTCCTTCGTGAATTTAGCAGATTGTTTGTACCTTATGGGATTTTTTGCTTTTAGGACTGCTTGGAAGCAATGGTGTCGATATTTGGACATGTCCAACTACGTCAGCGACTGTTTCAATGACACTCTGAGAGATTTTTTCAAAATGAGCACTTTCAGCGGGGGTTTCAATGACATCGCCGATGTGGGAATGCGAGCGGGATTTCAACCAGCGGAGTCGGGGATCATTAGAAGAGGTTATTTCCAATATTTATTTTCATAAAATTTCCAGAGATTATACTGTATAGCGAACATTTAAAGCAAAATTATGGTCTCTTGAGTCGCGTTCTTGAAGGAGTCCAAATAAATTTCCCACGCGACCAAAATTATGAACTTCCTATATATGGCAAAAAAGCTGCGTAGAAAAAATGGACGAAGATTCAAAGCTTTTAAAAATGTAATGCATCACATTTTCCTTGGATTTTATTTTTCTGTGTTTTTAGCTACAGTTAATTTATAAGGTCCTAAAAAATCGAACCTAAAGAAATTTGCTGCGTTTTTTTTTTTGGGTATCAGAATACAGCAGATGAGTAGATGCATTTCTTACGAGTTTTGTCCTTGTTTCCCGCGTCTTTGCACAATCCGCAAGTTGTCAGGCCTCATCAGCAGGTGACACTAATAGATTTAGCTATATAGAGCGATGATTCGAAATTGTCGGATTTCTTTTTAATTGTCCTGATTACATTTAATCAAGAGGAAGGCAAATATTAGAATGATGCGGATTCCAATGGCGGCAAAATGCAGATTTCCTGGTCCGATTCCGCGTGTCCTTGATGGATATTACAGTACTCTATTCTTCCATTGATTGGTTCATAAATTTTAGAAAAAATATGTAGATTGATAATTTTAATTTTTTGCTAAAATCTGACGTCCCGATATGAAAATTTGCAAGAGCTGAAAAGGAACAAAATCCGTGGTGTGATTGCTATTCATTCAGGAAACTTTTTCCTTCAGGTTTTTCAAAGTAGGAATGCAGACGGCGATGTGATTTGAACGGAAAAGAAATCAATACCGGTTATTACCGTTTTACCTTTTTTCTGTGTCGCTTTGGAACTAAAAAAAAAACAACATTATAGGCTCCGAAACCTGGGAAGAAAATCCGGATGACCAGGATAATGCCCTGCGGGCAATATCCGCACCGACGTGCCCGGCATGCCTGCACCCGGTATTTTCCACGACGAGTTCCCAGCAGCAGCCAGAAGAGTCGTCCACAAAGTCCTCATCGAAACCCGTGATATTCGTCCCGATGCCGGGTTACAATGCGATCGTCAGGGACTTTTACTACCCCACGAATCCGTATCCTCAAGTTGGAATCTTGGCCCCGGGCAGCATGCAAGCAACCCAGCCCCCGGTTTTCTTCAAAGCCAGGCCGCTTTCTTGGTACAGTTTTATTTTTGGGAAACCCGCGGAGGTCAATAACAGGAAGATGTGAATTGCTGAAAAATCGAATGCTGTATGGTCAGAGTTTTATTTAGTGAGGATGAAGCTAGCAGAAAATTTATTCGAGAAAATATGGACATTTTTTTAGTCATAATGCGGCATGAGAAGAAGTAAGAACGTATCATTGTAAAGAACAATTCTACATTTTATTGAACATTAATCCACGTTGGTAAAGAAGATTTTTCTGGACATCGCCTTTCCAATCTCGTTCTGAAGATAGAAACCACTAGGAATTCATTTATACAGGGGTCCCTGCATGAAAATAATTCATTCCTGGATGCGTGTTTTATGCAGAATTTTTGTAATTCAACGCACGAATTCCCTTAAGGGTACAAATAAATAAACGAAGAAATTTGAATGCAGGAGATCACAGTAGTGATGAGATTTTTTTGCACTTCTCACTCCCGACTCCTAAATTTTCGGAATTATGTGTGCACCTTCTTGAAGGCAACATGAAATTCGCTGGTTGAATTATTGGTCCTGTACCCCATTTATCCCTAAAAATCAGCTCTGGAAAACACCAGCTTATAATGGAAGAAGATGCCTGACAAATAATTTTTTCAAGTTTTCATTCAAGAATTTCTTGTGACCGCACTGTGGCATACCATTTGAAAGGAAATTGAGCAACCTCTCATTTAATGTTTTTTCATTGCCAAAGCTTGATTGGCTGCCAAAATATTTCAAGTCAAAAATCGGTTCACTTTTTTTTGGTCCATCACCCTGTACACTGAGTGAGAATTTTTTTAATGTAAAAGTAAAAAATATGGGAGGGCGTCTGCACGGTGATGAATTTTGTGCGAAATTTTCCTCTTCTTCGGTCAAGTTTTCAAATAAAGTTACTCAGTCACGTGAGCTTCGAACTGTATATATTCTGTTGAGTTTCAAAAACTTGTCCCGATCTCTTCAAAAAGTATGATATGCAAAAAAAAGCTGATTAAAACCCATGCATTTCTTCAAAATTTCTTTAAAGAAAAATGATGAAAGCTTTCACGTCATTTTGCTTTAGCAGATCGATTAAAATATGCGCTCCAAATTTAAACGAGAACCTCGCGATAACATGTTAAAAATGGAGTCTTTCCTGTTGTAATTTGTCTGCTGCTCATAGACCAGAAAAATGCAATGATGTGTGACGAAAGAAAAACTGCGTTTTTATCTTTCTCTTTCTCGTTACGTAACTCTTGTGGTCAGCAATTTCCGTGCACGATTTTCTCGGACATTTTCTCATTATACATGCTCAATTTCGAAAGGTTTCTATTGCTATACATGACAATATGTCCTATAGTGTCACTTCTTGTAGAAATAATCACTTTTTTGTGGAGACATTTCAAGCTGGAAGGGTCACATTAATTCCACGAGGATGGACTGAATCGTACGCCACCAATTTTCAAATGATTCCGGGAATGTATCAGTTTAAAATTTACGCAAAAAGTGTCCTACTGATGATGAACCACAATAAAACGGATTCTTGCTCACAAATGGAGTCATTCGTCATAATTCAAGCACCACGACGGAAATTTCTCATTGATCTGCAATAATCGCATGATTCGGCCCAGAGCCAAGAAACCCATAATTTTTCACCAAGAGAACTTCGTGTTTGACTCATTCTTCCTGCTCTTTATACCCCATTGCAAAATGTTCTGGACGATTACCTTTCACTCGTCCAATTATATGCTCCTTGATAACAGAGCCGCAAGGAAATGCAGATGGCAGTTTTGATTTTTGGAGGTTTCCAGTTGAGGAAACGAACACTTTTGTTTTGAGGAGAAATAAAAAAAGTTTGGGAAATCGTAAATGAGGATATTCTGGGCCAAAACTATCTCCTTAATGAATTTACACCTTATTAAAGTCGGAGGCATGGGTTCATTTGCTATTTTTGTTTTTCAATTCCTTTCAAGATGCATCAAATTATTTTTTTAAATCATTTTATCTTTGATATTTCAAGGAAATAATAACTAGAAGGCCTCAGAAAATTTGACTTACAGAGGTTTTAGAGAGAAAAAATTCGAGTTAGGGAGGTTTTTAATGTATTGATTCTAAGGGATTTTAGACAGGGACTTGAAAAAAATCGACTTAGGGAGGTTTGAATTATTGAGGTTTACCTGATAAAAATGACAGAAAATCAACAAAAAAGATTCAAACTGTTTTCTTTGTACTTTTCATATGATGGATATTAGACATCAATATCAACACATAACACAACTATGAATAATGAATAGTTCTGTATAAAAACCAGGCCAATAGATAAATTTTTTTTAATTAAAATACTCCAACTCGGACGAACTTCTGAAATCTCAAACGTGAAGCTTCCTGAGTTCCTACATGAACTTGACGTGGAGAAATTCAACTATACTTTAATTTTGAAATTGGCGCATCAAAATCAAAACAAATTAGGTTCTTAAATTTGAGAGCATTATATACGTTTGGATTACAAAGAGGAGCGTCTTGAGCGAGTCGTTTCTGAAGCACACACACAAAGAAAAACGTTTCCGGGTACAGTACAATCGTTGGCACCATCCGAACATTTGTCGGAAAAATAGCAGGGAACTTCCGTCCAAATTGAATCCCGAGTAGAAGGAAATACATGAATAAAAAAATAATAAAGTAAGCATCGCCAACGATCAGCTTGACATGGCGCAGAAATTCGCACCCCGCTGATATACAACCTCACGGACTGGTTTCCCGTCGTGAGGTTGTCAGTAATCATTACTGGAAAATACGGAGCAGTTTCCTTTTGTATGAACGAGCATTCGAAAAAAAATAAGGAAAACTATGTAAGGGATGAGTAAAGCGAAAGGCAAAAAAAAAAGGGAAGGAGAAATGGGCGTTACAAAATTTTCCTCCGAATAAATTGAGCAGCTTTGTGATAGGCTTTCTCACAAATTGATACATTTTTCATTTTTTCAAATTTCAGTTCACCTTGATCATCTGAAGTAAAATACACTGCTCAGGCTTGCGTTTGAGAACTTCAGAAATTTATTTTTGAAGATTGCAGTCACTCGACGTCGCATTTCCGACTTTGTTTACGCAATGAGGAATTCAGAATTGTTAAAAAAATTTAAACGGGTTAGTTTGTGCTCCGTAGAATTTGTCAAATGGGATATATGGTTCTTCATAACATTAAAATTACAAAGGTCAGTATAATTTTTTAATCTCTGCATCGCTGCGTTCAAAAAAAAAAAAAAGAATAGTTGACCATTCATGAGTATATTTTCTGTTCTTGCAACCGTCAGTTGGGGATGCACGGAATTGTTGGCCCAAAGAAATATCTGGATTCAATTTTCTGGCAGAAAAAAATATACGTACTGCCCCAGTATTTACTT